TAAAATAACAGCATTAAAAAAAAAAGGGAAAAAAAAGGAAAGTTCATCAGAATAATTACCATGAAATTATTTATAGAAAAGCTACAGGGAAGTTACAGTACGGCGGCAGGAAATTGAATGAAGCCGAAATGCCAGATCAGAACCAATGACATTGCAGATTCTTCTTTAGATTTTATCAAGAATCTCTAATTATTTAATAAAAGCACCAGACCAGATATGGCAGAAATATTCAAAGCAAAGACGAATGGTAAATTTATAAATATGTAAGATAGATTCTAGCGGGAAAAATATTTAGCACGACACAGAGAACTAAATTTTCTAGTAGAAAACCCAACAATTGATTCAATATAATCTTTCCACTTCATGTCATTGGAAAACGTTAGTCCAAGAAAACACAATGAATCAGTCTCCTGGAGGTTAGCATCAGCCATGCTGATAGAACCCAAAAAGGATTCCCTCAGATGATTAAAAGAGAGTAATTTCGTTTTGGAGACATTAAAATTAACAAGCCATTCCTTGCATCAGTTAACAATAGATTCTAGGTCATTTTTGAGATAATCTACTTGTTTTCATTTTGCTTTGGGGACATGCTAAATGTTTTTACAAGGCCAAAATTTCACCCCTTCAACTTCCCACAATTGATGGTAGGGATAGTGTTTTGTAATTAAAAGAAAACTAATGGTCTTATTGTATTCATTTTAGTTATAATCTGAATTTCACTCTGCAATGTTCGATCTATTCGATTAGTATTCAACACTGAATTTAATGCATTAATATAAAAGAAATGTTACTCAAAATAAATGCCTTTTCCATCATTAACTGTTCTACCGACATATACATTATTATTACGGTTCATGTATCAATCGATCTAATTGATTACACAGATTGATCTTACAAAGCGATAAATATAATTCTTGTTGGCATCACACACGCGGACACACAGTCACGTAAGGTGATATGCATGTTGTTGTTATATACACATACAAATATATAAAGTATAAACATATATAAAGTAAACACACAGACATGCATATATATATATATATATATATATATATATATATATATATATATATATATAAGATGAATCTTCACTTAGAAATATTATAAAGAAATACACTACTCCAATTGACCCGAATAAAAAAAAAAATTATCTACTACAAAAAAATTAAAAACAGCTAACCTTATCCACAAGGACAACAACACACCAGCAAAGTCAAAATTACAATGAATGAACATTATCTATGAGTTCAAATGCCCCTTAAGGAACTGTGTTCCTGATCAAACTGAATTCAGAAATAATTACATCCGTCACACGACTACATGCCTATCCAGACGTCTTATGTTACATCTATCTGACCACAGCTTTATCAGAATCCATTTAAACACACACAAACTTACCAGACTCCATCTAAAACATACTAATATAAAATACAAACATAACTTCATCTAACTGTAAAAAAAAAGATTTAAAATAATGGAAGCCTTAATAATGATAAAAAAGAAAAGCCAACCCTTAATAATATTAACTACGAACACAGCCACAATGTGCTGTGTTCGAAAAATAAAAGTCTCTATAATACTAAAAACACACAATGCACACACTCAATAAAACTGAAAAAAATAAAATCATCCTTAATAATGGCTAAAAGTGTAGCGGAAAGCGCACGGAATTATAGAACATTTGGACAGTTTCTACACACTCTGTGTCCAAAAAAGAAAACACTTGTTCAAATACAAGAAAAATTAAATAAAAAGCTTAATCGTAGTACCTTGTTTGTCCTTTTCTGTCGTTTAATAAAGCTCTACTTCTGTATGGAGCACTGTCTTCTTAAAAATAAAAACCAAAAATACTAAGGAACCCCGGATTATGCACCCAACGTGTTCTTTTCTATTTTCTGCATACCTGCATTTTCACACACACACACACACACACACACACACACACACACACACACACATATATATATATATATATATATATATATATATATATAAACAGAATCTTCAGATTTCTCTTTCCGACTAAGTTTCGCAGAGATGGTATGTACTTGTCAGGGATTAAATAATAAATTGAATTTATTTACAAATATTTAAGGTCTTTAAAGAATTACATGACAACGGTAAATAAACTCAATTTAGTATATAGACCCTTAACGAGCGGATACCAGTTCTGCGAAACTCTGAGTCAAGAAGGTAAGTTTGAGTATTTTATTTGTTTACTATTAATGCTCTGTTTCTTATTGAGCACTTTACTTACATAGACTGCATGCCTTAAGAATGTTATCTTGATAAAATACACTGGTTGCCCCTTTTTTTCTGATATAATACAATTTTCCCGTTATTATTATTATTGTTGTTTAACAGTTGCTATATTCATGTGGGAAGTGCTCAATATCGGTGATGCAGTGTGTGTGTGTGTGTGTGTGTGTGTGTGTGTGTGTGTGTGTGTGTGTGTGTGTGTGTGAAAAAGAGACATTGATGTTTCTGGGGACTCATAAGGAAAGTGAACTCGGATAATTTGTTACAGGATATATTGAAACAAGAAGGACTGAAGGAAACACCGAGTAACATGTCTGTGTAAATCAGGGGTCGTCAAACTGGCTCAAGTGACCCCTAGGCGTCGGTGAAGAGTTCCAAAGAATCGATGATAGTCAAGGGGGCGAATGGTGGTTGTCATTCGAATGACATTGAGCTAAATTTTACTTAGTGTACATGTATGTTGTATTCTTCGGTGCAGATGAAAGAAAGGTACTGAGCTAAACGATAAACAGAACCAAAAGCCTAAGTTAAGATCTATCCAAGTAGCTTTTAACTTATTTTGATGAGACTTATTTAATGCTACATTGAGCATTGCTTGTTCCAAGTTGATTTTCAGATAACAATCCGCTTTTGGCCTGATTGGTATGATTGTATCAAGTATGATGCAATATTTGTTTATTTAATTTAATTAGTACAGTTGTGCAGTTGGATATTAGTAGCGGTTATGCATTTCTGTTCAATAGCATCAGTTGTATTTAGGTTTAGTACTTAATATCTTAGTACTTAATATCTTATTTCTTTGATTCATTGGGGTTATTTAATATATTTTCTTAAATATATTTGGGGGGGGGATTCTGAACCTGATCCATATATCTTAACTTTTCACACATTTTAATTACCATTTTAATTGCGAACATCAGTGCGAGTTTTAAGGTTCAAAGTTCAAACATATTTTAAAAAGAAGGAAGATAAACAAAAGGAAATCTCTGGTCGAAAACGTTTGACGCTCCCTGGTGTAAATAGATGGCAGAAAAGGGACTGGGAGGGGTAGTCAGGAGATAAACACTTTTTAGAGTTGTTAAGGATAGGAAGTTGTGAAGACTCATGATCACCTACATCTAGAATGGACTTGTCACATTAAAGAAGATCCTGGTTAATACATAAAACGATTATCGTCTCTTGCGATTCCTCCAGTCCAGTAAGATTGTATGCTTTAATTCCTCCCTTTTTACCGTTGTTGTTAGTAAGTTGTTTCTCGTGTAATACGCTCACCGTACATCTTCTGACGTTCTTCACTCCTTATCCAACATCTTTTATACAGTTTTATTAAGGGAATTCTGTCTGTTGATGACAAGAACATTAGGTGCATGGTTCGAATATGGTTCTATTGTTTCTAATCTTTCACTGAGTTTGTCGTTTTGTAGTGTAAGTGCAATCGGTACAATTGATCTGAGCGAGTGATACATTAAAAATGAAGTATATCTGTAACCAATAACATTAATCTTATTCAAAAACTACTGCCAATTTCGTCTTAGAAGTCGACATATTCAGACGTGTGTAGACCTGACATTGGCGAAAAATCATCCTGAACAAATAGTTGTTCTTCTTATAGGTCTTTATAAATAAAATATTTTTAGGACATTTTCAAAGCTAAATCTTATAAAGACATGATTAACAAATTCGTTGTATGGTGAGAATTTGGAATCATAAGTCATGTTGCTATCCATTGAAAAGGAATTGTTAGATGAATTGGATGCAGAAAAAATTATTGGCAGACTCAAACAATCATACATAAAGTACATAAACGACCTCTCTTAATATAATGGACTGCGTGCAATACTCTGTTGTACTTTTTTTAAACTATATCCTAATGTGGAAATTGTTCAGTAAGCTATTTAAAAATGTCAACCAATTACTTAAAATGAAAAAAAGATAAATAAAAATTAAATTATAACATTCTGTATTTATATTTGGTATCTACTGCCAGTATAGCTGGCCACTGGTATTCAAGGAAACCTGTCTACCGGGCGAGTAGTCAATCCCTACTGCAGAGCTCACCTGTGGTTTATACTGCAACTATGCTGAGCAGGCCTTAGTTAAAGTTTCTGGGAAAGAGCGTGTTATCAAGCGTGATCAACAATCTGAACAAGGCCAGCACACTCAAACCCTCGATCAAGATGACTTGTGCCTTCGTGCTAGCGCAGGTACCGATGGCTTCCAAGAGTTCCGTCTACCTAATTTCACTCACAAGGCTTGGGTCGACCCGTGGTATGGTTTTCAGGCACTTTCCAAAGGTGCTACACGCTGGGATCGACCCCTCCAGTCCGATAACATCAGTCTCCTTCCTATGGTGAGATTCGATCCCGGGTCTCATTGTCAGAATGCGAACCACTCGGCCAATAATACGGTAGTACTGCCAGTAATAATGCCAGTAATACATTGTAATTATTAAGAAATACACATTTTTTTTCACAAAGGTTTTAATCGTACCCTTTTTTGCAGATGTATTTTTTGTAAATTTTATATATTCGCTACGAAAATTAAAAGATAATATTGTAGCTGTGGGTACCTCCCGCCCCCCGCGTTTTGTCTCCTGGCAACCAATATTTTCAAACCCAGTTCTTCACTGAATATATTTGCAACCAATAACAAGAACATTAATCTTATTCAAAAACTTATGACTATTCCGTCTTGTAAATCGACCTATTCAGACGTGTATATACCTGACTTTGGTAAAAATGCATTCTGAACAATATTTTCTTATAAGTCTTTTTAAATAAAATTCTGTCATAATATTCAAAAATATAAAATCTACATGTACTCGTGATTACGAATATTATGTCGGTGAGTTATTCAGTATCTAGGAATTCTTATTGGTCATTTTGAGATTAAAAAAATATATCAATTGTAATATTGTAAGCATAAAAAATTTCATATATTTAATAGTTTTAGTAGAAATATTATCTGAATTTCTTACGTGTATGTATGTATAGCTGGCCTCTTGTATTCGATGATACCTGTCTACTAGAGCGGCTAGCCAATCCCTATTGCAGACGCTTTGCTCAGGCGCATTTGTGTTTATTCAACACCCACAGAGCCCGTCTGTGGTTTATGCTGCAACTAGGCTGAGCAGACCTTAGTTACAGTTTCTGGGAAAGAGCGTGTTATCAAGCGTGATAAACAATTTGAACAAGGCCAGGACGCTCAAGCCCTCGGCCACGATGACTTGTGACTTTGTGCTAGCACAGTTATCAACGGCCCCAAAGGTTCCGTCTACCCAATTTCACTCACAATACCTCTTTTTATTTCAAAGCAGAAAGAATGTGTTGCTACCGAAGAGCGCTTACTATAGAGCAATGATCATTGCTAGTGGGTTCGATCCTCATTGCATGTATACTTAGCTTTGTTCCAGGCTAAACTAGCATTACTAATTGTCTAATTTGAATATATCAGATGTTGTTACAATAGAATTGGCATTAACCAACTGGTAATGTTTTCATCGCTCAATAACTGTAAAATATTTTGTTTTTTCTTTAGCAGTTATATGTTATATCTTTCTTACGAACTATGGCAATCATTATATACCTGAAATTTAAAAGAAAATCACTGACTATATTTATTTATTACTCTTCTTGATATTCTCTACCTTTACAAGAACCAGGTCATGGCCAAAAATAGAGTATTGTTGCCATATATGGACAGGAGCAGTCCGGTCTTCACTTTATTTTCCACCTGACAAGCCCTTTCCCATAGAAGAAACTTCACAGGTCTCTCGTTGCTCTATCACTATTTCCATGAAAAGTGTGTTCAGATGAACTACATGTCTTAGTTCTGCCAGTTCTAACATTCACGACTAAGACCGGCCATGCCAGGCGCATTGTAGCAAAACACTATCATTCCCCTTCATATTCCATTGATGAAATGTAAATTCCACTCGAACAGCTTCATCCTACGAACCGCTGCTTTTTGGAACCGACTCCCAAGAGGATGCTTTCCCGATCACTACAATCTTGACCTGTTCAAGTCTAGTGCTAATCGTTATCTTCCCCACATATTCGCATAAACGCTACTTCTTACTCAGTAACCCCACTACTTTGACTGTCTTCCAGGTCTTGTATAGGGTGAACATCATTGTAAAAAAAAAAACAACCTTTGAGTTGCATAATAAAATATGACAAATGTTTCTAAAAAAAAAAAAACAGATATTAGAAGCCACACTTCACATGTTATATTTGTTATTCAAATATAATTACATTCTGAAAATATTGTCAACATTGGTTGGTTCGTATCAATTTTATTGTTGAATCATTGACTTGCATAAAATACGACTTAGTACAGAACAACGTTCCCAACCCTTTGATGAAACGTTGAAATAAATTCCATGCCTCAGGAAAATCCTACATAAATCACTATTATAAAATCTTTATAAATCCTTTTTTTTCTCTTTCATCTATCTATCTATCTATCTATCTATCTATCTATCTATCTATCTATCTATCTATCTATCTATCTATCAGCAGCGTGTTACAAAAAATTCCAGTAATGTTAAATTTTGTGTATCAAGCTTAATATTCTTTTGACAACTGGTGTAAACAAAAATGTTTATTATTGACAATACGAAAAGAAATCAAGCATCTTGTTCAGAGATTTTCCTTTATACAAGAAAATAGGATCAAACATATTTGCATCCACAAAAAATGAATATAAATAACGAACAGAACTAAAAAGAGATAACTACTACAATAACTTCACATTTTCTTGCCAATATCACTGGTTTGCAATTTTTTCTGAGGCAAGAAAGTGAATAAGTGTTTTTTTTTTACTAATTTTGATGTGGCGAATTCAGATTTCTAAGCAGTTTTGCTCTATCACCTCTATTTTTTTTTTTTTTTGCTTTCACATTTTTATATACTGCATATAAATTCAAAATGTGTTTATTTTATCTATTACGAAAGCATATTACAGAAAAAACTGTATATATAGAGAACATTGACGGAAGCAAATTATCATACATACACATCATAGTACAGCAGGCAGTCAGAAGTGAGATTTTGGATGATATCATGTTCTTTACCTCCGGTATGTTGCGCAGAATTATCCAACAGAATCCCCCACCCCGCCATCATATTGGAGTTCCACTTGCCTTGGTGGTTTCTTTCCATCTTAGTAAATATCTTGCTGGAATCTTTCTCCGTGCTCATCACACATTGCTCTGATGTTCTGCCATTTGCTCCTGAATAAACAGAGACGCTGTCTTCAGACTTTGAAGAATGTTCCTCTTAAGGCAATTCTTCATATGATGAATGAATAAGATATGTATGTACTTGGGCTGTAGGGATAGAGAGGTCAGCTGAGTAGGCAACAGGTCTTTGTGACACTGAGGCATTGAGGGGGTTAAACATTAATTCTAAGCAGGAAAAGAAAAGGCATATTACAGAAAAAACTGTAAAATGAAATATAGGCTGTAAGATAAAGAGAGATAGAATGGAGACATTTTCCCTGGTGAAAATGGAACTGGAGAATAGAAATTTGGTTTAGAAAGCAGAAATAGGAAACAAAGAAAGCCCTTATTTGAATTAATGAAAATTAAAGAATCAACGACCCCCAATCCCAAATTCTTCTCTCCACGCCAGTTTTGGGCCGAAGCGCATACGAGCAGATGACTTTGAGAAGCTCAAAGACTTGGGTCGAGAAGCCGCGTCGAGTGCTTCTGTAATCCACGTCAGCTGCCACCAAAATTCCTGATTTCAAAACTTTGAACCCAACCTTCCAGAAGTTTAGACAAGGCTCATGTCATTCGAGAGATTGATGCGGGAAGGGTTAATTTTTTGTTGTACCAACTAAAGGTTAATCCCACGAATCTCTCGTTTTATTTTTTCGTCGTGAAGATAATTTTCTTCCTTAATATAGCACCCGCCACGGTTTGACCAGCGCTGCGAGACTACGACGGACGACATTCGATCTTCTACTGCTCTGAGATCAAGAACAAGTGGGAAGAGACGGTGTGGATCGAAGCGGTCAGCAACCAACAAGCAACTTGGACCAACGTTAGCATGAACTAGCGCAAAGTTAGCCCGTGGTTAAAGCGTCGTCCTAAGACCCTGAAGATCGAACACTAAACCTGGTTATACCACCAGGTGTAGACGGCGGCGAAAGCTGTTAAACTATCATCAATCCATAAATTCTTGCGCAAATTTTATCAATGCTAATTAATAACTCAATTGTTGTGGTGTCCTCCCTCTAAAGAGCCTATGTTGGACTCTTCCGCCTACTATAAGATTAGTAGGAGAGAAGGCTTTGGGGGAACAGCCGAATAGATTGAACGCTGGGCCAACCGACACACACTCACTAGTCATGTAATACTCTTCTGTTGTACTTACTGCTTAATATATGATATATCTGCAACACTTGTTTTGTTGTTACTTAACCATTTACTTGGTCACAACATCTTGGCGACGAAGGATTCGAAGAAACGGAATTCACGTTAAATCATAAAAAAAATTGCCAGTGTCTACAACAGTGGTGAAGAAAGGAATTCTAATCAAACTCTACGACAAAAGGGCATCCAGTGTTAATTACAACACTGACATTGAAAAAAAAGAAACTCCTCAAAACAATAAAATTTCTACAAGTTCAATTCAGTGGTTGGGAAGAAGGTCGGTGAACTTTGTTATTTTTTCCATTCCAACAAGTCAGCAAAAGAACTCTACAAATCAAACAGACTTATTGTTTTCGTTAATAGGGTAAAGTAAAAATTTACCCCATTCTCCCGATTTTAAATTTTTCAGTAAAAGAATCGTACAAGTCAAACAGACTTATTGTTGGTTAAGAGGGTAAAGAGAAAAAAATATTTTACGTACCACAGTAGTAAAATGGACGAATTTAAAAGTACAATGCTAGAGTTGATGAAACGCCAACAGAAACAACAACTACTGTTGGAACAGAAATATCAAGAAAGACAAGAGAAATTCCAACAAGAACAAGCAGAATACCAGAAGAAATTTGAGGAATTGCAACTAGAAATTCAGGTTAGACAACAGAAACTTGAAGAAATGCTCCTTAAAACACAGAATGAGCAAAGACACTTGTATAATATATCCATTAAAAGCAAAAATGAGGATAGAGAAAACGCGTACTCTCAAAATGCCATATGGAGTGCTATTGAAAACTTCACGTTTGCACCTGAAGAAGAAATTACATTCGCTTCGTACTTTAACGTTACGAGGATTTATACAATACGGATTGTGCAAGTTGGGCTGACCATAAAAAGTTTCGCCTACTCCACAGGAAATTAGACACAGCAGAGTATACTAAGTTTGTTAACTATATTTTGCCTAAGAAAACCAGCAACTTGAAATTTAAAGTGGCGGTTCAATCATTAACAGAACTCTTCAATCCCAAAACATCACTGTTCCACAAGCGTTGGAAATGCATGAATCTCATCCGCAAAGAAGACGAAGATTATACTACTTTCGCGAGTGTAGTCAATAAACACTGCGATGACTTCATGATTGGCAGAGTTAAGCGCCAATAATTTTAAATGCCTGATTTTCGTCCAGGGTTTGATTTCAGCGAAAGACGCCGAAATACGTCGTAGGATACTCAACAAGCTTGAAAACGAGCCGGACGTTACTTTACACCAAGTTGCCGAAGATTGCCAACGTTTCGTGAGCGTCAGTGAGGATTAAATACCGAGTTAAATTCACAAAAGAGAATATCAGCCATAAATACTTTGGCTGTTTCCGTGGTACAATAAAGTTTTAACATCTTTAATTGGACCATAGATAACATTAAGCGAATAGATGCCAAAACGAGAAAGCTTCTCATTTGCCACCGCATGCGTCATTCTAAGGCTGATGTTGATCGTCACTATGTGTCCTGATCCGAAGGAGGCAGAGGATTAGTTCAAGTAGAACTATCTTATAAAACCAAAACAATCGGTTTTCAAAGATACCTGGACATTACAGAAGACTGGGTGATGATCTGTGTCAAAGAACATGAAAGAAATAAGAAACTTTATTCAGTAATAAAGGAAGCCAGCAAATTCGAAATGGAATTTCGAATGGGTGAAGAAGTGCAAATAAACCATAATACATCTACTGCAGCGGCAAAGAATCTAAAATCAAAAGCAATGTACCAAATGCAGAAACGATGGAAAGATAGCTTCTTCATAGTTAACATTCTGCCCATACCAAAAAAGCTGATGTAGAAAAACCTCGTACTCATCGTGTTTTATTCTTGCTACACAGGACCCATGCTTGCTAACTAGAAATTACCAAGCAGATATACTGAAAATTTGTGTTAACCCGAAATGCAGATTCTGTGATAAATTTCCAGAAACAATTAACCATGTTGTATCAGGTTTCACGGTATTAGCACCCACTGAATATAAAACTCGGCATGTTAGAAAATATCTGCACTGGAAAATATACAACTTTCACGAGAAGAAAACTGTAAAAAATAACTGGTATGAACATCATCCAAACCCGGTTACAGATAAAGGACCTGTAACAATGTTATGGTAATTTATAATATACACAGACACAACAATCAAAGCTAATCGGCCAGACATCGGGATCAAAATCATAAAAACAGAATATTTCAATAATATTGACATGGAAGTCTCTGCAGATTGTAATGTATCTTTGAATATCTTCAAAAGACTATCAAAATACAAGGTTCTTAAAGTGGAAATCTCAAAAATTGTGGCACATGAGGACATAATTAATCCCAATTGTAATTGGACCCCTCGGATTGATTGGAAAACGTTCCGATAGACTCATTGAAGGGATTTTTGATAGCCCATGCCTTAAACAAATACAAAAAATTGTACTCACAAATACAGCTCACACATTACAAAGAGCTTTATCTATGTAAAATCTTTGTAGAAGAAGAAGAAGAAGAAGAAAAAGAAGAATGTAGTAAGTGATTGTATTCAATAATAAACGAAGCCAACAAGTTCAAAATGGAGTTTCAAGTGGATGACACACCGACTGAAGCTGCAAAATACTTAAAAATGAAAACAAAAGCAAATGCAACCGACCAGATAGAGAAACGATGACAAGATAAACTGCTTCACTGTCAATACTCTGCCCGTACCAAACAAGCTGATATAGACAAACCCCGTACCCATCAGTGGCTACGTAGTTGCAGGGTTTCTGCTTCTGTTACAGCTTAAAAGCTGAAACTGAAGGTTTTATTCTTGCTGCACAAGACCAATGCTTGCTAACTAGATATTATTAAACACATATACTGAAAAATTGTGTTAGTCCAAAATGCAGATTCTGTGATAAATATCCAGAAACAACTGACCATCTTGTATCAGGTTGCACGGTATTGGCGCCCGCTGAATATAAAACACGGCATGAAAGAGTGGACCAATAGCTGCGCTGGAAAATCTACAATGCTTACGGAAATGAAACTGCAAGAAATTGATATGAACACCACCCAGACCCGATTACAGAGATAGGACCTGTAACAATTTTATAGGACTTTACAATACATACAGACAAAACACTCAAAG